TATTGTCTCTCCTCTTACTTTTAATAGGTGAGAATGTGGCCTAATGGGTAGGGTTTGTAGCTTCTGATGATTGGGTCGGTGGTTCGAATCCAGCTGATGGCAGCATGTTGTGATCTTTAGCAAGTTACTTTACCACTTTGCCTCTCTCCAACCAGGAGTAAATGGGTACCTATGAGGGCAGATATGGTAGTTCAGCCGTTTGCACCAAAATGGCAGCATCCGGCTAGTATACTTCCCAGGGAGCTGAGATGGTTTCAGGAATATTCAGATGATGTCAGCCCATCCAATGTGCAGGGATGACAGATGCCTTTGAACGACAGATACCTTGAGCCTTATAAATGCTTTGATGGTATTATTGTTGGTTCAATTATTTACTTAATTCGTGTATTAAAGAAGCTAAAACCCAGTCTCTCCCTTACAAAAGGGGAAATTGTTAACACACATTCCAATCTCAAAATCTTTAGACAATGCCCTAAACACAACAGAGTGTGACATGTCACAAAAACTTAACAGTATGCTTTGTGGACATAGACTAGATGTAGATGCAGCCATTCGTGACAGTAATCAACAAAAGATTAGTATTCATTGTATTTCTCCATGGATTCCATGGATCAGCAACTGATCAAACAGAAACAATCCCTCTGCACCAAAGCCAAATCAAGTGGTAATAGTCATGACTGGTTTAACTACAAGCAAATCTGGAATGAGATAAAGAACAAAACAAAAAAGGAATACTGGAAATACATCACCAGTCTGTTTACTGTGCCAGATAACAAACACAGTTGTGGAAAATTGGTTCAAGACCAAAGGAGATCCAAGTGTCCTCCAGCATTCAAGGTACCTGACACACTGCTCCATAAATTGGCTGATATTTGCCAAGCCTTCAACAGTTAGTTTACATCTGTCCTGACTCCAACACAGGCTCTTGCAGAAACAGCACCGGTTTGCATCTTACATGTACATGTGCCTATACCTGAGAGCCCCCCTTTGACTATAAATCTTGGCAGGCCCATCATGTCTCTGTCCAACATAAATCCACATAAAGCACCAGGTCATGACCGGCAAGTCCTCCTCCTTGAAGCTACTTCATCAATCACTCTGCTGTTGATGCGGTTGATAAATGCTTCATTAGTAACTGGTGTTCTTCCCATGGACAGTAAATTTTCCCAAATAATTACAGTATTTGAGACTGGGAGCCTACTACAGTCCCGTCTCATTAATTTCAATTAGTTGCATGGTTAGGGAGAGGGCTGTGGCAGACCACATCTACAGGGTCCAGTCCACTAATTCAAGCCCCATTGAAAACAGCGTAAAATCAGCCCTGTTCAGGGCCCAATAACATGCACGCCAACATCCCTGAGATTTCTGAAACACAAATTAAATTCTCGTCTGGTCACTTATATTTCAATTTCTTTTCAATTTTTTGTGGGTTAACCAATTAAATTTTTAATTATGCCCACAATACAAAATCACCCCCCAAAAAGGGATTTTTTCCGAAGTCTGATTGCAGCCATTTTTCAAGTGGCAACCCTCAACTTTCTTGGGCACTTAGGACCATTTTTCAACCGTAGTTTTTAGCCATTCTGCTCTCATATAAGCTCAAAGACCCAGGGAGTTGACCCGGCAATGATTTACACAATCTCTGGGGGCCATACAATCTCCTTTTTCAAAAGATACCGTGGGGGCACTTTTAATGCTAAATGAGCTGGCCAGAAATTCTCACTTGAATTAGTGGTCTGCACCCTACAGCCACATCACAGCATGTTGCCTTGACAACCCACAGCAACATGGATTGACTGCACACAAACCATGCGTCACTCAGCTCACTAGCACAATCCACAATTGGGGAACTATCCTTGACAAGCCAAACCCCCCCAGGCATCAATGCAATTTTCCTTGACTTCAGCATGGCCTTTGACAGCAGGTCACACCATATCCTACCCAATAAGCTTGCCTGAAATTACAACATTCAGGAATACACCTGGGTGGGCACAGATAAAGTCATTTGTCATTGGCATCCAACAACAAGTTACCTACTTGGGAAGTTTCCCTGAGTGGGCACCAATTACTTTGGGTGTCTTGGCCCCCCTCTCTTCACCTTGTTCATAGGAGACATTTCCCGCAACATAACCATGAACTGCCTGCTTTTTGCAGATGATAAGCTACTCTCTCAGCCAATCAAATCTCCCTAGGATAAGCTCTCATTTCAATCAGACCTAACTGCAAGACCACAATGGAGTGAACTCAACTGCATGCAGTTAAATTCAACCAAAACTAAAGTCATGCACATCTCACGATCCTGGAAAACAGCTGTCCTTCCCGACTGCAAACTTTACGGCTTGTCACTTGTCTCCACTTCAATGTTTGAATATCTTGGAGTTCATACTGTTAATAACTCACCGAACTGGAATGACCACGTAAACGCCATTGTCTCTAAGGCCAATCAGACGTTAGGTTTTATTTAGCAGACTGCGGAAGGGGTATCAACCAAAGCCTTGGCAGCATTGTATCATTCACTCATCTTGCCAATGCTCGAGTATGGATTGCCAGCATGGTGTCCATACACAGCATCAAATATGGCCAAATTGGAGAAGGTGCAAAGGAAGGCTTGTGGGATGTGTTTGTGATGAAATATTTGCAGTCCCCACACAGTTTCTACCTATCACATGTGTTTGATTTGTAGCATATATCTGACATTAATTACTGTGTGTTAAATGAAGCACATAACATATAATTTTTTTTTGAGTTGAGTTGATCAATTATTTTTCATTTATTTTCTAGTCAATTTGTCTATGTAAATGTTCCTGGTTATTTACCTTACTACCGGCAGGTACACAGGTGTTTTTTATTACTTTCTCATATGTTGAATTTAACCCAATATTTTTGTAGTCATTTTATCATTAAAACTATTTTTTTCTTTTTCCTTTTAATTAATTTAGTACATTAATTTATTTTCTTGCTCCCTTTCAAGTTAAGTTTATCAGAAACCTTTATTATTTTCTCATTACCTTTATAGTCATTTTATTATAAGTCCAATCTTGCTATTTCATGTGTGTATATGTAGTGCCTCCTCAAGTTTGGATTGACAGGCTTTTGTGGCACAGTAATTGGTTATACTTTTGTCAGTCCTGGCCAACTTGGATTGGGTTGTTTTTGTTTAGTTTGTCTACTTGTTCATGTTTCCCGTTTGTAAATGATAATTATCTTTTCAGTTTCAGAGTTGGGGCTATCTTTGATTATGATACAAATTGATTTAACCACATACAATATAAAAACATTCGACAGGTTTCAATCACAGCTGGCAATTGCATCATAAAGCCATCAAAATGTGTTTTGGCAAAACACGCATTTGTTTCTCTTAGTTTCACTGAACACTTCCTATTATTTGGATTAAAAGTTGAAGAGGTTTTTGGGTCAGTCAGGGGTGATTGCAACACCATCATCTTTGACTCATTCTTCTTGGTTGTTCACCATTAGTCACACAATCCTCTTATTCATAGCTGTTGCCCAAATGAATGAGCGTGAAATAAAATGAACTGAAAGGAGAACAGACAGAGTAGGGAGTGTTGAAGTTTACGGGGTCAAATCAAAGAAAAAGTCCTGCAAAAAGCGGAACTAAAAGTGAATTTCTGAATTCTTTCTTTCTTTATACACATATGATGATGAAATGCAGAATTATTCACACTGGTGACCTTGACATGTCCCCTACCAAGACCAAACATGCTTCAAAATAAACAAAAGTTAGAAAGACATTAAACTTGGGGAAGTGCTTTACAAAGCTCACTAGTATAAACCATTCACTGCATTTATCATCCACAATTTGTAAAATGTCTTGCACATTCAGTATTCCTGTTTTTGATATGCAGTATTCTTTGTAAAATTGGACGAAATAATTCTAAACTAAGAAGATGCTAGATCAAAATTTTGAAATTAATCTGGTACTTTTGAATTTCTGAAGCATTCTTTTTCCCCTTTATTATTTCATTGGAAAATATACAATTTATACGTAGATAACGGTAAAAGAAAATCTTCTGTCCAGGTGTCATTCTCATAAAATCAAAGGCTGTGTCTGAATGATTTGCCTGCTGTTTGAAATTGCAAAGAAGTCCACGGTAGCTCCTGCAGCAACTTCCAACAAGGGTATGGTGATGGGATCGGGTGCAGCAGCACTCCCCTCCCCCAGGGACATGGTGATGGGA